ATTCATGGTTAAACTGCACTTAGCTGAAGCTCAGATGCAGTTGCCACTGGATAAGAAATTATTTGCCACTCAACCAGTCGGTCAAAATTCTGAATTGGGTTATATAACCACCATTGGTTGGGAAATGTGACATCACAGTGCTGTGTCATCACGCCAACAACACAACACACCCAACTTCATTGTGACTTCTACCCAACGCCTATCATTAGCAGCCACCTGATGTGGCTTGATGTGAAATCCAAACCTAATGAGTTCTGGCCATCATTCATGGTTAATCTGAAGTTACTTTGTTTCCCCCAAAATAAGACCTCCCCAGATAATAAGCCCAATTGAGCTTTTGAGCGCACGTGCTAGCATAAGCCCTCCCCCCAAAATAAGCCCTCCACTGAAAGTGTTGCAAGACAGCAGCAGCCATGAGGTGACCACGCTCGCCGCCTCCTGCACTTCAAAAATAATAAGACCTCCCCAGATAATAAGCCCAATTGAGCTTTTGAGCGCACGTGCTAGCATAAGCCCTCCCCCCAAAATAAGCCCTCCACTGAAAGTGTTGCAACACAGCAGCAGCCATGAGGTGACCACGCTCGCCGCCTCCTGCACATCAAAAATAATAAGACCTCCCAAAAAATAAGGCCAAGCACTTATTTCGGGGGTCAAAAGAAAATAAGACCCTGTCTTATTTTCGGGAAAACACGATAGTCTGGTGCTGCTAATCAAATGCCCTTGATCAATTGATCATCATGACATGTGATTATCTCAATAAAAGATGACGTTTTTAGGGGATTGCTGGTCTCTAGTATTGAAGTTTGTGTTAACACAATGCCATAGACATTGTGATCATAGACACAACGATCTTAGAGAAGCAACTGTTGCTGTCCATCAATCTGGGAAGGGTTATAAGGCCATTTCCAGGCAATTTAAAACCATCATTCTACAGTGAGGAAGATTATTAACAAGTAGAAAACATTGAAGACAGTTGCCAATCTGTCTAGGAGTGGACTTCCTAACAAAGTCACCCCAACGTCCACCTGTGCAATACTCAGAGAAATTGCAAAACATCCAAAAATTATATCTAAGACTCTATGGGCCTCAGTTAGCATGTTAAATGTTGAAGTTCATGAAAGTAGAATTAGAAAAAGACTGAACAAGTCTTTGATTTGTTTGGAGGGGTTGCCAGAAGAAAGCCTCTTTTCTCTCAAAAGGCAGCATGGCTTAGATTTGCAAAGTTGCATCTGAACAAATCATGAGACTTCTGGAACACTGTCCTTTGGATAGACAAGACCAAAGTGGAGATGTTTGGCCATAATGAACAGTGCCACGTTTGATGAAAACCAAACACAGCATATTAGCACAGACATGTCATACAAACCCTCAAGCACAGTGATGATGGGGTGATGATTTAGGCTTGTTTTGCGGCCACAGGACCTGGGCACCTTGCAATTATTGAGTCCACTAGGGACTCCTCTATATATCAAAATATTCTAGAGTCAAATGTCAGGCCATCTTTCTGACAGCTAAAGCTTGGTCAACATTGAGTCATCCCAAGCACACCAGCAATGACTGAAAAAGAAAAGAATCAAGGCGTTGCAATGTTATAGGCAAAGTCCAGACCTCTGTCCAATTGAAATGATGTGGCGGGACCTCAACAAAGTGTTCATGAACAAAAGCCCACAAACCTCAATGAACTAAAGGAATGTTGTAAAGAAGACTGGGGCAAAATTCCTCCACAGTGATGTGAGAGACTGATAAAGTTATACAGAAAATGATTTAAAAATTCATGTTGTTGCTGCTAAAGGTGGTGCTACAAGCTATTCAATAATAAGCTGTACTTAGTTTTTAACATGTGGCTTCTCCATTTTTGGCTTTCTTTTTGTGAAATAAATGATGACAAAGTAGAATATATCATGTGTTGTTCATGTGAGGTTGTATTTATTTTTAAGCACTGCCAAGGACCAGATGATTTTTCCTATGTCCTGATTTGTAAAGTCATAGACCTTAAAGAACATGTACTTCCTTTTTCACATGATTGTATCTCTAATTCTCTCTGAATTTTATATGAAGTATATTACACTGAGCATTAGTCAGGGCAGTTGACACCTTTGTATTTCATTGAGCATAACATACAATCTGTCATTATGGCTGGGCTTTTACATTCTCATATTGCTATTGCTTTTAGGGGAAATATTATGCAAAGGCAAGAAATGGGGGGAAAATTAGCAAGGGAAATAAATTAAAGGCAGAAGATAAGGGGGAGGAGGAAATAAATATAAAAATCATTCCCCATATCCACATCTATATTTGGACTCATTTTATACTCTCTCATCTTATTCCTAATCATTCATTTGTGTCATCTAGCAATCCATTTTTCCCGAATCATATTAAGATTGTTGCATAATTTTTCACAAAGCTGTGGTTCTGTCACTGTTGCCATTCATTGCACATAACATGTGATTAACACTTATGCATTTCTAGTTTAATACAATTGATTTTGTGCCATCTTCTTGTTCAATATCCAACTTCACCTCTATAAAGTGTCACAGGGAATGCCATCACCTATACCAGCAATGGCAAATCTTTTTTGGCTCATGTGCCAAAGCAGGGGGAAGTGACTTCCGGTTTGCTCGTAGGGTCATTTTTCTCCTCCGGAGCCTTCAAGGAAGCCTCCGGAAGGTCCTTGAAGGCTCCGAAGGGCTTAAACTGGCTCTATGAGGAAATCGGAAGTCCAGTAATGGCGAACCTTTTTTGGCTCACGTGCCAAAAGCGGGAGGAAGTGACTTCCGGTTTGCTCGTAGGGCTGTTTTTTTGTACTCCGGAGGCTTCAGGGAAGCTCCTGAAGCCTCCAGAGGGCCTCTGGAGGGTGGTGGTGGAGACTGCTTTCACCCTCCCCAGGCTCCTATAAAGCCTCTGGAACCTGGGGAGGATGAAAAATGGCCTCAAAAAAAGGCTAAAATCATCTTGCCAGCACGCGTGCGTGCTGGCCTGCTAACAGGGCAATGCCTCACATATCCTGACAAATAGCTCCACGTGTCACCTGTGGCACGTGTGCCATAGGTTCGCCATCCCGGACCTGTACTATTCTGATCTTTGTAGGTATAGATATGTCATGGCACTTGAATATCTTTTTCAAGGCCACCTTAGCTGCTGCACCAAGTGATAGGTTGCAGTATATTTCTTGACTGCTTGTTCCTCTGCTGTTGAAGATTGTCCCAGTCATACTGAGAATTCTTTTTTTTTCTTTGCCATTGTGCCACAAATACATCCAAAGCCCAATTTTAAAGACTACCTTATAAGCCAACATACTGTTGGCCTCTGCATCTTATCAGCCTGATATATGTGCCAGATATATACTCAAAGCTGTAGGATCTTAATAAATCAATAAACACATCCTATATATCTTACTAAGAGCTGTGAGTATCTATTTTTTCTAGCTGCCCATCTATTCAAGAAAATGTAGGCGGTGAACAAACACCAACTAAAACCACATTGAGGCAAATAAAAACACTAATGGCCTGCCCTCGGTACCTGGGGAATTATAGTGTATGTGTAATCTTGAAAACCGGAAAAAATATTGCTTCTTCTGTTTTCAATTCAGAGAAGAGATATCTGTGAAGAATTACTGAAGAGTCAAAAAGTTTTTTCTGAGAAGCTGAATCACTTGAGTCGCCGACTTGCTTGGATCAATGTTACTATTTATTCAAAGGTGAGAGAGAATGCACTTTAATTCTAGAATGCCATGGTTAAATCTGGCCCAGATAGTCCAATTCTAGTGTAAAGAAAGTAAGAGAAGTTCTACTATTCTTTCCTGTGTTTACACACTTTATTCCTGCAAAATTATCTATAGAGTTTATATTATGAAATAATTGTGCACATTAAAAATGAACTGCTTTTTTCATTTAGTTTAACCAGAAGGTTTTAATGTAGGATAGAGCCGAGGTGGCGCAGTGGTTAGAGTGCAGTACTGCAGGCCACTTCAGCTAACTGCTAACTGCAGTTTGGCGGTTCAAATCTCACCGGCTCAAAGGTTGACTCAGCCTTCCATCCTTTCACCGGCTCAAAGGTTGACTCAGCCTTCCATCCTTCCGAGGTGGGTAAAATGAGGACCCAGACTGTGGGGGTGATATGCTGACTCTGTAAACTGCTTAGAGAGGGCTGAAAGCCCTATGAAGCGGTATATAAGTTGAACTGCTATTGCTATTACTATTGCTATAGGATATTCTTGAACGCTTCTGTTACTTTAAAAGTTACAATTATATCAATCCAGATTTGTATAAATGCCATAAATATCATAAATGTGACTTGTTAGCAGAAAAAAAACAGTAACAGGCTACTTAGAGTTTGAAGTTTTCAAATTCAAGCTGGCTAAGGATTCCCCATTAACAAAGTAATAAAAAGGTGACTTCAACCAACCAGCTGGTAGATGAGAGACTAATCATTCCGTTTCCTTCCCTCTTTTATTTCATCTCTGTGCTGGCTGTGGAAGTAAAGATTTTTTTTGCTCAGTGATTAGCATGAAAAGTAAGTGAGCTGGATTAGAGGGAGTGGGGTGCTCAGTCTCTCCACCAGTCTCTCTCATGCCTACCTGGCATTCTTGGTCACCTATGACCCCATTAGATGGATACATATTTAACTTATAAAAACGTTCTAATCTTTTTGCGTGTATATGTGTTTTCAAGTTAGAGTTAATTCCTGGTGATTGCCCGAATTAATCCCTGCGGTTTTTTGGCAAGGTTTTTTGGAAGGGATATTTTCCCTTGCGTCTATCCCTGGGCTAGGAGAGAATGTTTGGCCCAAGAGCACCAGCTGGCTAAGGCAAGACCAGAACTCATGGTCTCCCAGTTTGTAGTCTAATGTACAACACCAAATTAGTTCTAATCTTTTGCATATATACTTTTTCTGCCACTTGAAGTACAAATTAACTCAGAATTCCCCCTCCACAGGAGAAGATGCAAGATATATACTGGTTGTTACGGGTGTGCATTCGTACAATTGAACATGGAGACAGAATTGGCTCCCTCTTCGCATTCATGCCTGAGTTTTACCTGAGTGTAGCAATGAATAGCTACAGCGCTCTGAAGAACTACTTCAGTCCTGTAAACAGCATGGAAGAACTTCCAGGTGACGATATCTTTAAGCAGGAATGTTTATATTTTGCATGCAGAATCCAGCATGGGTAAGAAAAACACGAGAACACAGAATCTGGCATCTGGCACCAACTTCATTTTTGCCAACAAGCTTTTTTTCTGCTAAAATAAACACACCTGTGTTAAATTACCCTTATGGAAATGGAATGAAGGTTCTCCTGAGATTCAAAGAGCCTGTCTTATGGTGTTTTGAAGGCTCTGATTACCTGGTTCTTTGACTAAGCCTTTGGTGAGAGTGATTGAAACCCTCTGTGCTTCTTTTTCCCTATGCAGTTTTGCTGTCTCTGCAATCTTTATTATTTTTGGTTTCCTTGGTTTTTTCCCCTTCTTTTTAAACATGTTTAACAATTTATAAACCACCCAGAGGTGCTGGAAGTCACTATTATTATTATTGATATGCAGACAATATGACAGAGGTTTGTATGATAGGGCAATGATATTTTCTCAGCCATCTGAGGTGTCCTATGTTTCTTATGCAACACACAAGTTACGGAGGTAATGCCATTCCAAAATTCTGGGTCTGATAATATTTTCCTTATTTATTTTCACTTGAATAAGTAAATAAAAGTTACCTCCTATCCCTTCCTGAGAAGAAGGAAAGGTGATAAAAGATAGGCTTAATAAATATGGATTTCTTTTCCTCAGAACTTTTTCTTTGTTTCCCATTATTGAAATGGAGAAAGACATTAAAAAAATCTTAAGATTATTTCCTTTCTAGAACTGGAAAAAGTTTATTTTTGTTCACTTTTTACAAATGTCTTTCCTCCTTGATTTTGGATTCTGTCATGTTTTCTGCAGTTAGGAATTAATGTAAAATTTACCTCCCTGCTTATCAAATGTTACAGTATGTAGAGATATCTCTCACCACAGACTACTGTAGATTGGAATTTTTTATGCACTCTGGGCCTTGAGATTAATTAACGCAAGATAATTTGGACAGATTGTTCGGGATTCTATTTGATGTTCCCATTTTCAATGTCTTGTATGTGTTCCTCTGCCTTAATGTTCTTCTTTGTATTTCACCCCAGTTTTGGAGTAACAAGTGTAACCATTTTCACAATCTAACACATGGGATAGCTGAAATTCTCACTTGAATGTTTGTTGTCAAGTATTATTTTTAAATAAGAATATTGTGCTTGTTTGAAGACTCTAATGTTATGACAGGTAGCTGGTCCTGCATGGGATTGCAATGTGTAAAAAGTCAACATTACATAAAATATGTTACGTCTTTATTGCAATAATCCAGAAATACACATAAAGCTTTTCATAAAGTGTCCATATAAATGGAAATGCTATTCCTAAAAACACATGTGTATATCCAGGAAAATCTACACTAAATAAAATTATTTCAGTATAAACATCAGTCATGTATTTGCATGGCAAATTCGCCTTGAATGGGGAAAGACGGAGACTTGCCCTCCTTTATTTTTGTTTTAATCATGACAAGCTGGATTTCTGGTTTGTTTCCCAGGAATTCAAAACAAAGACATAAATAAAAAAGCTAATTGTAGACATCTGTTCTATTATACTGGTGAAAATGTAGGTGCAGAAATTTTCTATGCATTTGCGGTCTTTAGTATTCTGAACTTCTTTTCAGGCTATGAAGATACCTTGATGCGCCTCGCTGCCATTTTAGCCAAGCATTTTGCTGACCCAAGAATTGTAGGCACAGGTAGGTCGCTTTTCTTTTAAGGGATGTCTTAAGTGGTAGTGGGGAGTGGGGAACTATATCCCAATTGATTAGTGGCAGTGACAGAAATAGTAGGGAGAATCAAAAACAAACCTGGGTGGAACCACTTGTTTCCCCCCCCTCTTTTTGATCTCTTTTTGTGATCTCCTCTTTCTTTCTGGGATGGGAGAGGTAATTTTTGTCAGAGATTCTTACTGGGGCTTTGAAAAGGACACTGTGGGTGATCTGAAGCTCAGTAGGATGTCCATGATGGGCTGTGGAGAATAAAAACTGCAGACTAAATTCATGGTTATTGAATGTTCTCTGATTTCCTGTTGTCATTTTGGGAATAGCAATGGGGGCGTTGTTTCTTTTATTGATAGGATTTCAGTCTAATGCAGAATGAAATCATTTATATCTTGTTTATCCCTTTGTCTTGGTTTCTTGACTACCTCCCATTATTTCAGTAAAAATGCATTCTCGTAGCCAGAGTTACAGTTAGATTTTCTGTCTCATTAAAATTCTGTGTTATTTTTATATTCAGACATTAGAGACTCCCTAATGCAAGCATTAGCCAGCTACGTTTGCTATCCCCACTCACTTCAGGCTGTAGAGAGAATTCCAGAAGATCAGTAAGTGTTTGGTTATTTCTTCCCTGAATAAAATTGTATGTCCTAAAACAAGTTGCCTCTTTTCTTCCTTAAGTTAGGCACAAGTTTTGTAACTCCCTATGGTTCTTGCATGCATGAAAATGGCCTCTTCTACTTTTTTGCATTTCATTTCTACTTCTTCCCTGCCTTGTATTTTTCTCCCACTGTTGAGGAGCTGATTGCTTGTCTTATTTTGGCAGACGAATATCCATGATGAGGAATCTGCTGGCCCCATATGAGCAAAGACCTTGGGCACAGACTAACTGGATTCTTGTACGACTGTGGCGTGTAAGGATAGATTCTTTCTTTATTTCTCAGCTGGTTTAGCAGGGTCAGGTTGCTCTAAAACCAGCAGGTGCCCTTTGCATGAATTCTCCTATTACTGTTTGCACACACTTATTTCTGGTGAGAGAGTCTCAGATTTTCTTGTGAAAAGTAATGGAACCAAGCATCCTTTCCCCCCTCCCCACTTTCCCTCTAGGGCTGTGGATTTGGATACAGGTACACACGGCTTCCTCATTTGCTGAAAACCAAACCGGAAGATGCCAATCTGCCAAGCTTGCAAAGTGAGTGGGGAATTGGGAACAGGAAAGTGTTGCTTTCCCCCCTTTCTGGTCAACTGTTGGTTCTAGTAGCAAGAGAAAACAGTTTTCTGGTATGAATATTATTACAGATGCCACATTCTGGCACTTTATCTGTTATTACAGAGGTTTAACTGCCATTGCCAAGCAGGTTTGACAACTGGTAACTCACGATGTTTAGTAGTCTAGGGTTGTCTCTTATTCTGGCTGAAGCTCTTCCTTCTTCGTGGCATTTGTGCTGTTCCCAGATTAGCTTGCACCATCTGATCAAACATGGTCATGTTTATGGGTGGCAAAGCCAATACTTTCTGCCTTTCCTCTGGTTCAGACAGAATTGCCAAAAAAGCAGTTTGATGATGTGAATCTTAGAACTTTGAGGGAGACATTTATGGTGTGGTGAGAACATTTGCTTCGTCCTAATGCTATGGAGTTTTCTTTGGTCTCCATGGAGGTTAAACTACTGAGAGGCTACAATTTTGCTTGTCTTTAGAAGTGAGCAGATATATGATGTGTCAGTTTTTCTGAACTTTAGAAATACAAAATGTGCAGAACATAAAGTAACAACAAGGAGGAAAGTTTGGCTCTGCCTGAGTGCCAGTTTCCATACCCTTCTTTTGGTCAACTGGGAAAAACAGATTAGCATGCTATTTTTTGACATGTTTAGATTAGCACGAAAGAAGATAATTGTAGTATTTTTTAAAACTGTTTGTCCTCCTGTTCAACTCCCTTTTTTCTATTTTGCTTCTAACACTTTAAGAAGACCTCAGTAACTATCATTCCCTCCATAGTTTTTAGCATGTCACCACGTACAGCCTTAAAATTAGTGTAGTTTAGTGGTGGAATATGATCAGAGCAAATATAGGTGGGCAAAGTGTAAAACATTTTTTTGATTTTCCCAAGATTATAAATTAAACAGTAACATTAAATGAATGTAAAAGACTAAGATTATTTGGGGGTTGTCTTCATTAGGGATGCTGTAGACCTAGAAGGCTGTGCCCACCCCCACCCCCTTTAAGGAAATGGCCTTTATCACATGTAATTCTGTCATGCACTCAGACAATAGATTAATATTATATAAAAGTTCTTTCTTTTCTTCCTTTATCACATGGTGTTCTAAGCTAAGGCTATTTTCCCATAATTACCACATTTAGGACTATTTTGCAAAAGTTCTTTGGAAGTTTGAGAAATTGTAGTTACAAGCTGTAGGGGGAGCTTTGGTTTCTCTTTTATAGCAAACCAGAAACATGCTATAAAGAGCTATTCGACATCAATCTAATTTTCTATTTTAATAGTTGCTAATTTAATTTGGAAGGACTGTATTATTCTTTGCTTACTTGAATCACACTTGTGAGATTAGGTTGATATAGGTTGTTATTGTGTTAACAAAGAAATAAATTCCTCCAGGTTTTAGATTTGGCTGCAAACTTGTTGATGCTGAGAAGCCAAGGTTTTAGGAATTGGGAATGTTTAGCCTTGAGAAAATATATATGGAGGGATAATTTGATTCCAGTCTGTAAGGCCAAAACCTGCTCTTTATGCCTATAGCATTCAGGACATGAAATGATAGATTTAACCCATAGTATGGACACATTCTGGTTGAATGTTACTAAAGCAAACATACTAATAGCAATTTGACAGAGAAATGATAGGCTGTGCTTTGTTAGGTCTGTTAAAACAAGAGAACTATCTGACCAGAATGTTTTCTGTTGGGATTCCTACACTGTATATAATCCTTCTAGGACTTGCAAGGTGATTTGCCATATAAAGATGTCTTTAATACTCAGCCTTTTATGCTCAATTCAAACAAAAGTCTCAAACTCTGTAAAGTAGCATACCACCTTTGCTTTTTTTCTAAACATTGGGATGAGGTGCTGCTTCAGTGTGGTTGCTCCTTTTTTAGTTGCTCCTGAGCTCCAGGCAAAGCTCCAACCTCCAGGCAGGACTTCCCCCAGGATATGCTGCTCGCCATAGCTTGTGGTCCTGGCAGTTGAGTAATAGTCCCCTCTTGACTGCTTGTAAATTGCTGCCAATCTCCAGACGTCACCTCCACTTCCCCACTTCCCCGTCTGTATGCCTTTGCTTATCATTTTTCCTGCTACAAGCCCCCTCCCTCCTCACTTAGTGTCTGCTTTTCTAAGCTAAGAACCTGGGTGGGTTGAGGCTGCTTCTGGACACCAGCATGTTCTTGGAAAATGTCAAAGTATAGCTCAATTATCACAAGCATCTGCAACACCAGCTTGGATGCCTGGGAATAAAGTTGTGCATGAATGTATAAACTGTATGAGGGAAGTGGGCTAGATAAAGTTTCTGCCTGCCTGCAGCTGCTTTTCCAAAGTGCAGATAGCAACCCAACTTCACTCACTCAAACTGCACTGAGAAGGGACTGGCTTAATGGTCTAAGTGGCTGTTTCCAAGTCTGAGCATACAAACACATCTGTGCATTTGATAAGAGTATTTGAGCTAATGAAAAGAGTAATGATTTCTCTCCTTTATGTACAGTATCTGAGGCATAATTCTTCTTACAGTCATTCACAGAAATCATATAAAGCAAGGTTAAAAATTATTTATCTTGCAGCTCAGGAAAAAATGGCAGCAGTAATATCCAATTACTCACTCTAAAAAAAATCAGCATTTTTCATCTGTATACCATAATTTCTTTATTTCTTGGACCTAGGAGTTATTTCTTTTATTAACTTTCCTGTTATTTTTTCAATGGTAAGAAAGGTCCTTCTGCAAGATCTCTCTTCTCTTTGCTTTGCTTTAGACAAGTGGGCAGTTGTAAAAGAGGCTCAGCCTTTGGAAACTAGAGTAGGAGGATAAGACAATGTGATTGGATATCCTGAATGATGGCCCTAAAAGTTGTATTAATGTTTATGGTGATGACATGCATCAAGGTGAATGAATATACATGCTTTTAACTGGAGGGCAGTTTCTGAGTGCATAGCAGGCATATATGGCTGTTGCCTGTGCTCTATCCATTGCGCCTTCCCCTTATAACCATGCCATTTACTGTCCTCTTCATTTTTATTCTTTCCTGCCCCCCCTTTTTTCTTAAAATTCTCCTCCAGCAAAGACAGAACAGGAAAGATCAGAAGATATAGTTTCTTCTCATCAAAGTCATGTCCAATTCAGACTCAGATGCGTAGGTTAGTGGGCTTTGCTGAGGCTATTGTGGTGCTCCATCCCTGCCTTGAGCTTGTGAAACCTCCTGGGCCATGGTGCATTTTCCCCCACTCCTGTTGTTGCTGACAAACTCTGACAGTTCCGTATTTGTTTCTCTGGGAGGCTCCAAAAGATTTAAGGCAGGCCATTAGATCCTCATGCTACTGATACTTCTCTCTGCTATTTTGAGGTGTACAGTATTGAATTATTAATACCAAATTAATTGAAAGGAGATGGCCTAATTTAGCCCCAAAGGGAATGGCCTTCTCCATCTCCCCGAAGTCTTTCTTACGTGCAAGGAGAAAGAGGATATAGGCAACTGCAGAAGGTCAGGTGTCCTCTGGCTCTTACCTTGGTATGGGATTTCTGAATTTGAAAAACTTCAGGTCTTTCTGCCTGGTTGGATTGTTCATGTGCGTTTAAAGTACCGTACTCTCACTTCCTCAAAGCATAACACCGATTAACATTTTCTTGGATTTTTCAGTCTTTTGATCACAAATTTATTTATTGAGGGACAGTTTATGTACATTTCCTGATAGGGATTTTTTTGATAGCTTTGACAACAGATGACCTGGCCCTGTGTAAAGAAAAAAATATCACCCAAGAGACATGCTAGTAAAATTCTGTGCTTAATACTTGTGCACTTACTTGATTCTCTCTCTTATAGTTCTTCATTAGGTAGTTCTTCCATCCTGTCTGAGTTTTGGAACTGGGGATTGCTGGGAAAGTTTTAAAGAGTTCCTGTCACAATGGTTGCTTGTCAGTTGAACTGCGAATAGGCAGTGCCCTAATACGTGCAGCATTTTGTGAGTTACATTTAGTTAAGAGAGGTGATTGCACCAGTCTGAACCCAGTTAGATTGTGGAGAGATCAAGACTCAAATTTAGCCATAGAAGCTTACTGAAGTTTTGAGCCACTCATTATCTCTAAAGCAAATTACTTCATGGATTAGTGTGAGTATAAAGTTGAAGACAGGAGTACTGTTTGTGTACCTTGAACCTTTGGAGCAGTGGCAATAATAATAATAGTAGCAAAGTATGAATGCTGCAATTTATTTAGAAGGAATATCATTACCAAATTGCCTTTATACTTGGGGAAACATTATACATTTCTATACTTTGCAATAGAGAATGCTTCCTCAGTACTGATTTTCTTTCTTTATATTTCTAAAACCTGTAGAAGAATGTTTGGAAAATAGAAAGAAAAGCATAGAGCTGTAAGAGCTCCCTTCAGCTGCCCAGTGGGTGTCTCTTTCATCAAAGTTGACCATTAGCATGTTCTAAAAGTGTATGATTTGACTCAATTTCTGCTTGCTCTTAAGTTTTCTAACACTGCAAGGAGAGAAGAGTAATGTAGAAGCAGTCACTTGAAATTCTTTTTCAGTTGCTTTTTCAGCTCTGCTTCATGGACCGTAACAGCCTTTTTCAACGTGCAGTGTTTGTAGCCTTGATGTCAGGATCCAAGAATAGACTGAATTCCCCCCCCCCCGATTTATGACTTCCTGTCTTTCCTTTTTTAAAAACAGTTAAATATTTGCTCATTTGTTTATAACTACAATTTATATGATTCCATATTGTGACCTTACCACAATATATAACCCTCTGCGAAGAAGACCTGCAAAAGAAAGCTAAAGTTTTAGCCAGCTTTATAAATTACTTAGGGGAGCCATGGAAATGGAGAAGGGGGAGAAGTGAAGCCTTTCAACAGAATACTCCTACAGATAAGAAACGTAGCACACGGCTATTACTTAAAGGCTTTACCCATTTCCATGCAAGTTTATATTCCCCGTGTACTCATTGTTCAAAACTACTTAAAAACATACAAAAACTGAACTTATAAAGTTAGGGGAGATTAAGAGCAACTGACCATACTGATTGCCCAAGCTTCATTTAGACGCCACATTTTGAGAGAACACGAATGCTTCAAACTTGGACTTTCCTCTTTAAATCAGAGTGATTAAAAATATCCCTCCAGATTTGCTGCAAGGGCATTATGTAAGTTTTAGCCTTCTCTGCATACCGAAAACCTGCAGTGACGGAGAAAGTTTCATCATTAGGAAGTTGAGAATGGTATTTATGCTGGGTCAGTTGAGATACTAATTCATTTGAGAGAGGTGACAGACTCCCCAAGCAATACTGCAGTGTAACTCTCCAGAGAAATATTTCTCAAGTAGCAAGTCAGAATTACAGATCTGTGGGCAACAACAAATCCTATCACCACATCACATACAAACAACATTTTACCACTAGAAATTATTTCTAGACATCAAAACAGTCTGCTCAAATGGGGGCAGGAAGGTGAAGAGAAAGGTATAGAAGTCAGAAAAAAAGGACAAAGGCAGAATTTTGGCTTCCTGAATTAAGTTGCTGGTACATATAATTTGCTATTCTTGCTATTGTTCAGTTCTTTTTTCTTTCTTTTCTTCTGCTTTTTCCATTGTCCATTGGAAAACTATTAAAAGTTTTAACTATGAAAAGATTTAATAGAAATGTTTACTATTAAGTAAGTAAAGAGAAAAATGAAGAAAATAAGAAACTAAATGAAACTGCTTATAGTGCAAGATACACACCTGTGAATGCCAAATGTATTGTAGCTCTTTCTCACTTTGATGTGATTGTGGGCTAATGATTTCCATCACTTTCTCACAGTGAGGCCTTTTTTTAATCTGCTGTTTTCCTCCAGAGCCATGTCCATCCAACTTGCTGCAGCGACACATGGCAGATCTGTTACGCAGTGACCAAGAAATGGCACCTAGTTTCCTCAATAGTGTCCTTAACCAATTAAACTGGGCCTTCTCAGAGTTTATTGGCATGATTCAAGAGGTGAGTCTATGGTCCAGCATAAATCTAATTCCAAACAAATAATAAGATACTGGATAATGAATGCATTTGTCCTTTGTTATGGGATAGCAAAATCAACACAAGTTCTTAGGGATTGAGCCAACTTGCAGTTTAGTTGTGCAGAGAATAGGTAGTTTGGTTTGTATGAGAAAGACCCGTGGGATATGCCACTTAGGAGCCATAGAGAGGTGTGAAAGGGAGCAACAGACATCAGTCTTGTTCTACATATTCAGATTTTGTTTAATTTATACCTGAAGTAACCAAAATATCCCAGGTGTTATTTTTGCTGATTACTGGCTGAATCAAAATAGTTCAACCTTTCTAGATGTAGTTATTTGTTCTATGTTTCCCATTTCTTCCATCCCCTGTTAAGTTGTGTCCTCTTGTCTGGATAGATCCAACAAGCTGCAGAACGCCTAGAAAGAAACTTCGTAGATAGTCGCCAGTTGAAGGTGTGTGCAACTTGCTTTGATTTGTCAGTGAGCCTTCTCAGGGTCTTGGAAATGACTGTCACGCTAGCTCCGGAGATCTTTTTGGATTGGAATCGTCCTTCTTCAGAACTATTACTCAGGAGACTTGCACAGGTATTATTATTATTTTTTGTGTGGAATATCAAATACTTCCTGGCACATATTCATAACTCGCAAACATACTAATAGATAATGGCCAATTTATGTCACCTTAACAGTTTTGCTCCTGAATTACCTACTAAAAAGTTGTCTAGTTGGTTATCAACAGATTGGAAAATGATATAGGTAGGACTACAGGATTTCTTCTCTTCCCCAATAAAATTATTTTTTGCAGCCATTACTTGTAATGTGTTGCTGCAAGATAAATATCTTGATCTTACAGTTCTTATTTGATTCTATTTAGAACAAGAGAGAGACAGAAAATAAGGGGTCCATGGTACTCTGTGAGCTTGGTTACTTTCTTGCAGATGCTTCGTTACCCAAATTAGGTAACATCATCAGGGTAGCTAGGACTAGCACTGATCATGTTATCTAGTTCGGGTAATAATACATCTGCAAGAAAAACACACATTTAAATGCATGCACAAACCACATTGTACTCTATCTTTAAACCTCTAATAAGACATCCCAATCTCTTTCTCCCTACTTTCTTCTTTCAGATGCCATAATGCCGTCTTATATTTACTTAAAGCCTCTAGATCGAAATACATCAGTAAATCATCCTTCTTGCCAAATATAAGAACATATTTAAATGTTGCCAGTTCCATATATTCAACATGAAGATATTAGGGTAGATGGCAATGAAGTTTACAGGAAGCAAAAGGCATACACATAAATTGGGATATGTTTGTACAGTCTCCTTTTTCAAATATCTCTGGAAAATTGCTTTGTCACATATATGATAATGATACAAATTGCTTTGTCACACACATTTGGGCTTGACTGTTCATGCAAAATATTCAGACTATATTGATATGTTCCCTTGGAGTTTGAATACAGTAAAATCAGCCCAAACAACTTCTTTTTTACATTCCAAAGTTAACTAATTAAAAAAAAGGAAAAAAGACCTCTTGGAAGCACATCAATTATTTTGGTTTTTAAAACAATATAGTCTTTGAGACTCAAGGCAATGTGTCTTTCACACATCATCTTGTTGGATTTTGTTATTTGCTATCCCCAAAGTCCATTATCCAAAAGAACGAAGAGCTAAAAGATTTCTTTCAGTGGAAATATCTACAGCCTAGATGTGATCTAGTTTCAGTTTGTCACAGCTGGAGATTCTGATCTGCTGTCATTGTTTCATTAAGAGCTATGGACATATTTCTGGACTGTTATGAGGCTTGGTGTCTGCTAATATTATGTTAATATTCATCAAAGGACCTACGTGCATCTGGCCAGTAAATGCTCAGTTCTATTCAGTCACCCCGACACCACCCCGATAAAAGGGATTACAGGACCGTAAAAAGAAAACCAAAATGATTTAAGGACCTAAATTCAAACCATACAGAGTACTGTGATGCATACAGGCCTTTCCATCCAGCGTTCAGTTTTTGATACTTTTTTAAAGATTGAAAATGAATAAGAATAAGCAACCGTCCTAAAACTTCTTGCTCATGCCATTAGCCAAATTCAGTGTTTCTACCATATGCACAGTGAGATTGTTTGAGCTTTGCTGTTCAAATGATGAAGCAAGTGTACAATCAGAAAGTACTCAATTCTATTTTTGCATTCACTCTTTTTTCCCTTTTCCTACAGTTATTAAATCAGGTGCTAAATCGTGTAACAGCTGAGCGGAACTTGTTTGACAGAGTGGTGAATCTTCGGCTGCCTGGTAAGCTGTCTTTTCCTTTTTGCAGTCATCTCCCGAAGAAAAATTGTATCTTTGTAATAAAACACATATTTTGGGTATCCCAGGATTAAAATGTGTATGGAGCAGATGACAAAAAGTTCTTTAATTCTAGGGAGTTGTGTGGAACTCTTCTACTCAGGCTATATAACATTGGGCTAAATAAGCAAATAATTTAACCTGGCATAAAGTATTTTTCATATTCTTCTTAATTGAAGACATTCCCCTTGGCCCTCCTGCTGCTTGTTGAAATGTGTCTAAGGGTTTTAAGCATTTTTGGGGTCTTCATAAGAATTCTCCCATTTCCAGTCCCTGGGGGGGGGGAAATTATATGAGGTATAATTCTAGGCCAATCTTTTACCTCAGTTTGTGGTCTCAGTGTAGTTTATACTCTACCTGCTGTCTTTCTCATGGATCATTAATATAAAGACTCAAGAGGTGCATCTGAAAATGAAAGAGAACATCTAGTCCTTAGGAAAAACTTTATGCTGACTCTCCCTTGGTTGCTCAGAGCTACAGCTATAGGATGTGAGATCTTTTGGCTCTAAACTTTAAGGAGCCATTAGAGGATGGCCATGTGCCTGGCCTACTCAAGGCCAAGAGATCTGTTCTCATAAAAAGAATTTTAAAATATGAAGTAATCCATAGAGAAGAAAGGTATCTTGGGTATGCCCCAAAACTAATAGAAATATTATTGAATATGCATAAATTCATTTGAATGCAAAACTGTTTTTATATATTTATAAACATAACATGATATACAATAACAATACAATACAATAAGATATAAAAGAAGAAAAGGAAAAAAGATTGTTATTAGACATTAGAATTAAAAAATAAAAGCTAACAGAAACTAATAAAAAGTAGAAAGTATAGAAAAGAAGAAACAAAAAAGGGAAAAATCTGTGTGTCTGTGTGTGTGTGTGTGTGTGTGTGTGTGAGAGAGAGAGAGAGAGAGAGAGAGAGAGAGAGAGAGAAGATGTAACTTGCCCCTTCATCACAAGTATAAACAATTTTAGCAACATATCACCAACAAATGATCCATTCTTCCTATATGTCATTTCTACTTTTTATTAGTTTCTGTTAGCTTTTATTTTTTAATTCTAATGTCTAATAACAATCTTCTTTCCTTTTCTTCTTTTATATCTTATTGTATTGTATTGTTATTGTATATCATGTTAT